ATCATGAAATCTCGTATTTCATCACAAAAATTAGACTACCGTCCCATTAGTCTTCTTCCTATCATAAGCAAGATTTTTGAATCTTTAATTAACTACCACTTAATCTCTTATCTCGAATCTCATAACCTACTTTCTGATCATCAATATGGATTTCAATCTTCTCGTTCTACAGCTGATTTGCTATCAGTAATAACCAATAGGTTTTATCACGCATTAGATAAAGGTGGAGAGGTTAAGGCCATTGCTCTTGACATTTCTAAAGCGTTTGATAAAGTTTGTCATGCTGGTTTCCTCCATAAGCTTTCTTCTTACGGTGTATCTGGAAACATCTTAAGATTATTGAATCCTTTCTTTCCAATCGTAGTATAAAAATTGTCCTTGATGGACAGCACTCTTCTTCTTATTCTGTAACCTCAGGGGTTCCCCAAGGTTCAATCCTTGGCCCTATACTCTTTTTAATTTACATTAACGATCTTCCAAATATTCTCACATCTAAGGTGACATTGTTCACTGATGATACTACCATTTATTCTTGTCACGATAAGAAGCCAACTCTCTCTGGTTGCTTGCAGGGGGCATCTGAGCTTGAAAAGGATCTCACTTCTACTACAGCATGGGGCTCACAGTGGCTGGTGAACTTTAATTCAGATAAAACTCATTTTTTTCGGCCAATCGTTATTGCAATAATTTAGACATTCCTATATTTATGAACGGTAATGTACTCGTCTCCTACCCTTCATCTTCTAGGATTAACTCTTACTTCTGATCTTTCTTGGAAACCTTATATCAAATCCGTTGCAAAATTAGCATCTGCTAAAGTTGCTTCTCTTTATCGAGCTCGTCACTTTCTTACTCTGGATTCTATTCTCTATCTCTATAAATCTCAAATCTGGCTTTGTATGGAATACTGTTGCCATATCTGGGGCGGATCTTCTAATGATGCCCTTTCTCTTTAAGACAAGGTGCAAAAACGCATTGTAAACATAGTTGGACCTGCTCTTGCAACCAACCTTCAACCTCTGTCACATCGTAGTAGTGTTGCTTCTCTTTCTCTTTTCTACAAATACTATAATGGGCACTGCTCTAAAGAGCCAGCGTCTCTTGTGCCATCTACTAAAATTCATTCTCGTGTTACTCGTCATTCAATTAAGTCTCATCCTTTTTCTGTTACTGTTCCTAAGTGTTCCTAAAACTCTTATTCGTCTAGTTTTTTTCCTCGAACATCAGTTCTTTGGAATTCGCTTCCTTCATCTTGCTTTCCTGATTCATATAATTTGCAATCTTTTAAGTCGTCTGTCAGTCGTTATCTTGCTCTACAATCTTCATCATTTCTCTTTCAGTAACTTCCAACACTAATTAGTGGTTGCTTGCAGCCTTGTTGGAAGCAAAGATAATTAAAAAAAAAAAAAAGGTCTAGAACATTTATGATGAGTTGATTAACTATACCAGCGTAGCAAGTAATTTATTTATTCCAATAGTCAATGTTTTCTTAAAAAAAAAGGAACTCGGTGGCTAAATAAATATTTAAAAGATCTTATCAGGAAACTGTGCTGGTAAATGGAAAGATGTGAATTTGGACAATGATTACTAAAAGTTTTATCGTTTTGTAAAATCAAAAGTGGAAAAGGCCTGTCTTGCTTACGAAAGAGATTTAGTATTGAAATCTAAGAAAAATCCCAAGTTGCTCTAAAAATACACTAACAATCAGTTAAATGTAAAAGAGTCAATAAAGACTTTGAGAAAACCTGATGGAGAATTTTCTCAAGATCAATTGGAAATTTCAAATAAATGCTTTTTCAGGATGTTTTTGTAATTTAAGACGTTTGAAGGTGAACTACCATTCTTTAAATCTAAAGTACAAAAGTGCACTAGCAATCTGATCTTTCTCCTTAAAAAACAATATATAGTAATTTTTTTAAAGCGACATCAGAAATTTGATCAAAACAAAGTATGTGGTCCAGACAATCTTCATCCAGCACTGCTCAAAAATTCATCAAATACTTTTGCTCTGCCACATATTAATTTTTTGGGAATTTTTAGTTACTAGTCAACTGCCAGTTCAATTTAGATCTGCAAGCATAACTCCACTTTAAAAAAAAGTCAATGAAACAGTAGCAACAAATTATCTTCCAGTTTCCCTCACTTCAGTTCCGTGTAAGATACTAGAAAGAATAGTCCGAAAATAAAATTAAAAATTTTTATGATAACAATTTGTTGGTGCAGCAACATGGGTTTGTGAAGAAAAAGTCATTTTCAACAAATTTATTAGAAACTATTGATTTTATTCATGCATTTAACATCATGTATAGAAGCTGGTATACCAGTTTATACTGTTAGGCATACAAAACAGATGTTAAAGTTAAAAGCATATGGAATCACTGGTCTTGTTTTGAAATGGATTGAGTCATTCCTGAGAAGAAGGTAATTAAGAGTAGTTAAAGGTGAAGTTGTACCTAGCTAGGTTGACATTTTAAGTCGTGTGCCACAAGGTTCAGTTATTGGTCCTTTCCTTTTTGTTATTTATATTAACAACTTACCTATTATAATGAAAAACATTACAAAGTTATGTGCAAATGATACTAAGACTTTAGCAAGTGCGGATTCTGATCTGTGTGTGAGAGAAATTTAAAATGACTTAGATTGAGCCTTTAAATGGATTGAAGAATAGCTATTAAGATTTAATGTAAATAAATGTTGTCGTGCATTATGGTTCAGTAATAAAAATAATTCCCTTTTTATTAATGGTGTTCAACTTGTGGAACCGAAATCAGGAAGAGATTTTGGTAGAAAGTTTTAACTTTCATACGAATATTAAATAGAAGGATCAAGTCACAATTGCAATTGGTAAAGCAAATCAGATGCTAGGTCATGTAAAAAAATCAATTGCGAGGTTTATATATATATATATATATATATATATATATATATACATATATATATATATATATATATATATATATATATATATATATATATATATATATATATATATATATATATATATATATATATATATATATATATATATATATATATATATATATATATGTATATATATATATATACCCATATAGTGTAGTCGAAAGAGCGTTTTAATGTAAAAAAAGCCTCTTACGACTACAATTTTAATTACCTCGTCTCTTAAGCTGTTTTTGATTGTCATCGAAATGTCAAAGCAATTAATTTATGCGGAAGTACATTAAATTTAATTGTTTTTTCAAAAATTTTTAAAAAATCGCAATTATAACGACTAGAAAGTTTTTTTTAATTAGTGGTGTTTTTGTTATTGATTTAATAAAAAACATTTTTAAAACATGCGTAAATGTTGCTACATCGACTATCTTATAGCCTGACTCGCAACGGAGTGCTGCTACATCGACTGACAAATAGCCTGACTCGCAACGGAGTGCTGCTACATCGACTGACAAATAGCCTGACTCGCAAAGGAGTGCTGCTACATCGACTGACAAATAGCCTGACTCGCAAGGGAATGCTGCTACATCGACTGACAAATAGCCCGACTCGCAAGGGAGTGCTGCTACAACGACTGACAAATAGCCTGACTCGCAAGAGAGTGCTGCTACATCGACTGAGGGTTTGGTTTGGCCAGGCAGTCTATCAATTAAAAAAAAAATTTAATTTTTAAAACTTTTTCTGGTCTGGTTTATTAACGCGCTCTTTACAACTACAGTTTATGGGAAACTTTTTTTGATGCCATGCAAGAGACATGCAAGAGTATATATATATATAT